GGTTACTGTAATACTTTTTACCAAACTTCTGGATTCCTCCTGCGTCACAAGTCAGCAAGTTCGACTCAGCAAAAACCGACGCAGGAGTCCAGAAATTTTGTAAAAAGTACCAATTAACTACTAATCAACTAAAGGTCTTTAACGTTCTTGATACTTAAAATAATATTTGCGATTTCTCTTTTGTCTCTTTTTATAAAAACTCTTTTCCAAAATTTACGTTCTACGGTGAAGTAAAAATTGAAAAAAATGCTGCATAAACATTTCCCTTTTTTAACAGAAAAAAAGAACATTGCCTCGATAATTGAAATCAAATCAAATCCATTTGTCTTAATGTTTTTTTAAAGCTTACTTCATTTGTGAATTTGGAATTTTTCAGATGTTTTTATTAGAAGTGCTAATTATATTTACACAATTATCCTTTACTAAAAAAATTCAAGAATTTTCCCCCCCTTGATGTGGACTAAATGAAAGAAAGGTGAAACCCAACTTCCGGTACATAATATTTGACTATCTACTTTTGCAGCTGTCCCCAACCTTTTTTATAATTTTCTCGTTAGACACTTTAGAATACTAATTAAATTCCTGTCTTTAATGAATCAACGCGAGTAACTTTTAAAATAATAACTGTGTCTTGTCTTTATCTTTTTTCATTAAATTCCAAGAAATTTTCTCTTTAATGGTTAGCTCGTTAAATTGATGATAATCCGCCATTAATTTAACGCCGCTTGCAGAATGTGTTAAGCAGCGTTGTCTAATGTAGAACAACTTTGCAGTTGAAATCGTTGATACATAAGCGCATACTTACATTTATCTACAAATTGGATGAATTAAATAGAGTCGTTTTAGCAAATATCCGTGTCGTTTTCTGGCATAAATGGCGGTATAGTTTCTGTATTTTGAACAAGTTTCATTTTATCGTTGTAAGATTGGTTTCTTATAATTTGTTAATATTAATATTGCAAATATAATTGATTAGTTAACAATGTCGGCAAATGAGCTTCAAGTTAGTTCTACATCGGTTATCTCAATCATTAATTTATTTATTATTAGAACAAAACCAGCGATATTCAGTAAACAGCAACGTACAGACTGGCGGATTTCGGTATATCCGCTTTGGTACGTATAAAAACCGCATCTATTTTCAAGTATTCTGAACAAATTGAATAATTTCACTTATAAATCCAATTAAAATCTCAAGAAAGTGCTGAAAATAGAAGTCGTAGAAAATATGCTGCTGATGTTTTCCGTAAACTTACGTCTCTTGTAACACAGTAGAGTTTCTTGGAAATATCTATTTACTGGCTAAAAGAACAATTTTATTATGAAAAATAAAATTTAAATTTAATAACCCAAGTATACTGCACCGAAATTTAAAAGAAAATCAAAAAGTTAGGATGCATAATATGTTGTAAAACTCAGAATTCACAAACAAACAGATAAAATCGACCAATACAGATTTAAAACAGCATCCACTAGTAAATAGTCTAGAAAATACTTCACTAGAGATAGTACAGTTCGAAATAACCCGATAATAAAGAAGTTACGGGGTATTAAAGTTTAAGCTCGAATTTACTGCGCCAATCCGACCAACAAAGAACTGACCGTTGAAGTCGATGTCAGTTACAATACTAACATATAATAATTTTCTAAAAACAAAACATTTAAATAAAGAAAATATTTTGTCGTTATTTAAAAAAAAACTACTGTAGAAATTCGTCAAAATAAATGGTTAAAAACTACTATGAAGAAGTTTTGATCAACATCAAAAAATCTCGGGTGCTATATTGAGAATGTGCATGCGCAAGTTATAACATAATTACCTAGCTAATGCTCATCAGTTTTATGTTAATAGAAGTCTGTCTATATTCATAAAATAGGAATTTTTAAAGCCTACATCAACAGAAAGAGAAATTTGAATTGCGCATGCTCAATATAGGCATATTCAAATTTAAATGTGCGTTTTATTTATTTATCAAACTGAAGTCAAATACAACGACAATTATTAAGTTTGAGAAAGCGATGCTCTTTAGACTAAGGTGGGTTTTCTAAAATCGACTTATGTTTTAACAATAATTGTAGCAATTTTTAAAACTTTTCTAAAATAAAATTTTAAAACATTGTAAAACACCAAATACTGCAGAGCCAATTAAACACTGAAGACATCGCAATAAGAACATCAATTAGATAGAATTATCGAAAAGGCTCGTTGTTATCTGGGTTATTGAGATAGACACCACGTTGGTCCTTAAAATGCACGCGCAGAAAAAAGAAACAAACAAAAAACAAACCGGATTCGCTTGGAACATTGTAGCGCAACGTGGGGCGACTGTCAACTGTCAGTGGTCGGCGCCAGTCACTTGTTCGACACGGTATGTCCATTACCAGACTGGTAATTAAAAGTGCAGGCCTGTTTGTTTTAAGGGAACTAGTCGGACATAACTACGGTTTTAATCGACAACGAAAAAAAGATGTCGTTTTAAAGTCACTTTATCCCTACACTTATTTTGACTAATCTTTTATATCGGAAACCTCGGCCCATTAACAAACGACGACCACGAATAATGGGATTTATCGGCTCGTGTTGTTAAAAAGAGGAATGCGGTAAATACGGGGAGCTCCTTATAAACGAATTATTTACTGATGAATCATTGAAGAGTTCTTCGAAATTTACTCGACTTAAATGGCTCAGAAAAATTTTGTTTACTGTTACTTAATAAATCAGTCAATTGCAACTTCGTGGGCCGCATTTGGCATTGATTGATTGAGATTGATCCAGTTAGATCTTCCACTAGTAAGTACCAGTATTCAAAATGCCTTAAACTTGGTTCTGTGCTAATTTATACATCTACTGCAACTATGCAACTAAGCAACACTATAGAAAGACACCGGAATTGTAAGAACCACAAGTTCGATAAAGCCTTATTTTTTCCGATTGCCACCTAAAATGAACAGCACATGAAGTGAGACACTCAAGAAGCTGCCTAATTTTGAGCAGCTATGCCATTTTTTGCCCATGTTGGCGCAAGGCGTGATCCTTGGCCTATAAAAATCAATTCTCCTTATAACCATTTTCTTCACAAGTTATTTCTTGATGAGGTTTAAACGGTATATGTTATTATATTCTTCCAGTTTTTAAGTAAAATCGACATGTCAAAAAATAGAGATATTTTCATAGCAACGAAATGCGTACAAAACTTCACCAGATCAAATATTTTCCTTAAGTTCACTGTACAACCAGAAGGCACTTAAAAAAATGACCATTGACGTATATACCTAAATCCAATATCAAGAAATGGCAAAGTTTTAGCTAGTCAATCTTAGGCAAGAGTAGAGGACGGAAATGGAATAGATGCTTTTGAACTATCGAATATGAAAACGGATAAAGCTTGGTAAATAAGATTATGAATGACAAATTCTAGTACGTAAATGAGAGAAAACCTAGAGAGCGATAAAAGCTAGCTAGCAACTAAAAGTTTCATTTAAATTTCTTTAATATACGTACTTTATTAAGAATATTTATTTATCCCTTTTAAATAAAGAATACATTCCAAAGTTGAAGCAAATAAGATTATGAATGACAAATTCTAGTACGTAAATGAGAGAAAACCTAGAGAGCGATAAAAGCTAGCTAGCAACTAAAAGTTTCATTTAAATTTCTTTAATATACGTACTTTATTAAGAATATTTATTTATCCCTTTTAAATAAAGAATACATTCCAAAGTTGAAGCAACCACTTCATGTAGCAGAACAACTTTCTACAGAATTGTTCATCATGAATAAAAAACAGGCGTAAAAGTTAACCCCCCCCCCACCCTATTGTAAATGTAGGAGTCAACTAGAGAATGTCGGGCAGTGCTTTTCAGATGTGAAAAGGGTTTACCGTCGACGGATGATTTACATTTAAGGTAAAAAGATGTGGTTTTAGCAACAGTGTGTTATTTTTTTTGTTAACCAAAAGATGCCAAAACTAACCAGAACTCACCAGACCGTTCCTAACGATTTTAGAAGGTTAAACTGGAGAAATTCATGTTTTTTAAACCTTATTTTGAATAAGAATTTAAATAGAAACATTTTTTCTTTATACGCGCGTATATAGTTGAAAAAGTTATCAAATAGGGTATCTTCGTTACAAAACAGGAACTATTGTTAGAACCCTATCTTTCTATCTTTAAAGATAAGCGACACCCTTTATAATTTTCTCATAATCCCACATTTTTGTTGACCAGTTTTTTCTTTTTATTTGTACAATGTTCTGATTAATAAATGGATATCAGAACCTATTGAGATTAAACCGGCAATTGAATAGCAATTACAATTTCCCGTTATTGGTGTAAGAAGTGAAATTTACTTCAAGGTCTGATTCACCAGATAAAATACTCTATTATTTGAATTCAACATTGGGTTTAAAAAATACCTATCGTGTGGAAACGCGAATCGCTGGAAGGGGAGGCTTTACTATTCACGCTGATAAATAAAATTTAGATGAAATTAATGTATACAAACCTCAACCTCCTATATTTCGTTATTATCAATTATAAAAATGTTGCACCGGATAGCTAATGGAATAGGGTATCCATATAAAATAGCTTTCATATAGCTCAATTCTCTTTTTCTTTATGAAAATTTAAAGAAAAATAATAAATTTGCTAGCAAAAGTAAAGAATGCCCGAAACAATATCTGACAATTCTTGATATTAAAATTAAAACAACTTAAAATTAAAGCAGAAAATTAAATCTTTCAGTAGGTTACTATAAGATTTTTTTTTACTATTCCATAATTATAATCCTCAAGAGTGTCCAGAGTGAAAATAACAAAATAACAACAAAGCCTAAAAAATCAAGCAACATACATACGTTCTTCAAATTTTAGCGCATTACTTCATTATATTTGGGCAATTAGATATAAGTCTTAACTTAATAAATTTTAAAAGAAGTATTAATTTCGGACCAAAAATGCTCAGGTCACGCAAAGACACAAGGAAGCATTGTGGAAACGTACCTCCATTTCGTTCTCCTATTTTGAAACCACGTCTTCACTTGTGCGTCAGTCATTTTCAGTGTTTTCGCCAGCGCCGCCCTTTCTGCCGACGCCAAATATTTCTGTTTGTGAAACCTCTTCTCAAGTTCGGCTATTTGCAATCTTGTGAAAGATGTCCTCGGCTTCTTTCGTTTGGGGGGTGTTCGGTTTTGGTAGGGGTGCCCGATCCGTCGGGCCATTGGAAAGGTGGCTAAAAAGCAACACACTGCTCTTAGTTAAGTATTAGGGGTGTTTAGAACACAGGTGGTACAAAATTGAAGGAAGGTGAAAACGGATCCGATAAATACGGACATTTGATAACCATTAATTTCATCGCAAAGAGTTTTATATCTGAGCCTATGTTTTCTTTGTATTCTGAATGATAATCTAAATTTTTTTTCAAAGTTAAGTTTAGAAAAGAATATTTTCCAAGACACATTTTTCATGGTAAGGTTCTGTCATTGGTCAATTACTATTCTTATCTGCGATCTTCAGGAATTACCTGAATCAGAATCAAAGTTAATAATTGCGGTAATATCCAAATGATGGAACTCCAAGTTCGTACCATGTTTCACACTGTTTGACTACTACTATTCAACCCTGTTTTTAAATTTAAATGTTTACCAATGGTTTCAAAATTAGCCTGGAGTAGGTTTAAATATTTACATCATTACAATTTTATAGTCATGTTGGGCGGGTACTCACTCATTGAGCTTTTCCTGTATAATATTCTTATATTTTCCGGGCTGTTTTTGTCTCAAAGTTACGAAAAGACAAGAATTTCATCAAAACGTATTCTTTTTCTTTCTTCTCTTGCTAGGGTAAAACTTTCATCCTATTATTATTATCATTATTATTATTTTATATATTTTGAAACATTTTTTAACAATACGGGTTCTGAATTCAAACTTATGTTTTCCATGGTGCACACTTTTTTGTTGTTTCTCAAAAAATGTTAATATGAAATCAATATGAAAAGAATTAAAATATATTGTAGTATGTTAATTAATTAATACAAATATATCCGAATATATGGAAAGAAAATGAAAAATTCAATCGTTTTAAATGAAAAGATTCGTTCCAAGTTGGCCGAATGGCGTCTTTTATAAAAGACGTCTTCCCTTTTAGTCTAATCTCCTTTTAAACAACAATGTCGTTTACCGAGCATTTGAGCGTGGTTAATATCAGGCGCGAGGTGCTGATGCTTCAAGCGCTCTAAAATTATTGGCTCTTTATGGCGATGATATTGTAAAGTGTTTTAACACATTATCCACCCTCCTCGTTAAATGATACCGGATGGTCTATAAAGATAAAACGCTAAACGGGAGAGCAAGAGAGAGAGGTTGATATTACGAGGTAGCACGCGGTTTGTGTTAGTTATAAGGTTAAATTTAATTGGGATGTTTTATGTTTTGAGGTTAAACGAATTATTACTCACGATTAAGATAAATATTAATTTATTAATTGCACCGCAAATGCAAAAATGTATTCTGGTATTAGCAACTAACAAGTCATGCAGTATACGTAAATCTAGTATGAATTATAGAGGCTTATCTTTAAAATTGGGTAACATTCCCTAACTGGTCCTTAAGATATGAAAGATACATGTATCCGAAACTGCCTTTCATCATAGTGTCAATATTAGAATTCAGGTAGTTGGAATAAAATGCTATAGATAAGGTTTTTATTTTGTTATCATCAAAATGAACCATCTATCAAAAAACATCAAGACACATAATTTTTTTTTGTTCGAAGTATCTATTCAAGTTAGGAACATAAACACAAATGTCACGTTCTAAGTTTTTTGCATTACTTATCTAATACCTCCTGGATTTAACATAATATAGCCCACCAGTGCGTACATATTCACTATATTCTCATCACTATTAATATCTATTAATTACATGACTGCGTGGACTAAGTAGATTGGATAGTTATATGTCGACATAAAGCCGTTGCATTATGACAAGTACGAGCCTATTAAGCTGAATTATTAATTATCAATTAGACATGTCTACATGACAAGCTAATTAACTCAATGTTTGTGAAATACGCAACGCGAGCATATAAAATGAAACGCATCCTCGGTTACCAGTTTGTTGGTTTCGATGAGAGTAAAATTTAATTATTGAGTTTCATTACACATCGGTGGAAAAAAATTAAACCCTGATTCAGAAAATTACATGCCAATCCAGGCAAACTCTATTTGTCTGAGAATACTAAGTAAATTGCGGGTATCTGTTTGTGTGAGTGATCATGGCTCACTTTCGGTTTGGTTGGTTTAGTATTTGCGCCTTCGTCGTAAATTTGAAGCTGTGAACAAATGACCCTGATGTGCCGTGTTCCGATATTGCGTGATATGAGGAGTCATACATGAATGTAGCATTTTATCATAACACAACACGAAAAGCACAAACACAAAAGCTATCAATACGTTCTCCGCTTCAGTCTGAAGAAATTGTAACTGGAAATGCCTTGATAGACAGACTGTTCAATGAACTGCACGTCCACTGTAAGAATATCACTATATCACATCACCACCAACCACTACTTGAACTTATAGCGCGAATTTTATTGAGTTCGCAGCGTATAGTGTTTGATTGATTTATTTTATTTTTTATTTATTTATTTCATTGTTTCATGGCCAACCGAACTCTAAAGCATGAGCAGATTTTGATTAGAGTGGGATTCAGTTATTTAAAAAATATTGAAATTTTGACTTTAAATTAAGTCTAATTAAGTTGCTTTTTTTGTGTTTTTCTAAACTAATTTCCCGAACGTCAACCTCAACCTCAAACTGAGCATCAGAACTGAAGGACCGATTTTGGTTTTTGTGGACGCTGCCCGTATTCTATATATCCAATTTGATACCTATCTTGCATATATACCCTTAATACATTATATGATTACGTTAATTACAATTATGGTTGTGAGAGTTTTTATGGCTATTTCAAGCAATCGGATCATATCAACTACACTAATGCCTCTGTCAAGACGAAGTTTATAAATTGGATGAAATATACACAAATCAATATCCAAAATCAATTTTTCTTAAAGTGTCATGCAAATTGCTGCGTGGGCGTCCTCCGTATTCTTAACATATTATTCTATTCACTGCAGCGTACGGAAGCGACTGAGAGTTGTCTCCATCTTCGATAATTCCCTGCAGTCTTAGGCGCTGAAAGCACTCTTCACTCACAATGTATCGGAAATCTTTTATTTTTTAATGTGTTCGAAAAGTTGTGTTTGACGGATCGAAGATGTTGATAGATATTTAGACAAGTGGTAAATCTGGTTTTGACGTTATATTTCTCTAGAATTTTTGATATGTTGTCAGTGACGTTTTGAATGTAAGGAAGGACCACAGTGGCAAGTGTGGGATTGCTTTCGGTTTCATTGCCATTGGAAGGTTGTGGTAAAGTGTATTTTGTGATGGAACGCTTAACATCTTTAATGTGGAAATTATTAGAGAGAAGAGCAGAGGTAAGGTGTTTTAATTCTGGGTTCAGTGACTCGGGCTGAGATAGTTTTACGGCTCTGTAAAAAAGAGAGTTGATAACCGTTGATTTTTGGGCCAGATGGTGATGTGACAATACATTAGGGTATCGGTCTGTGTGCGTAAGATTTCTGTAAACACAATGACCCAATTTTAGGTCTGATTTTCTATTGATAGGAATATCTAAGAATGGAAGATTACTATTAGATTCTAAGTTAATGGTAAAACGTATGTTAGGGTGCATAGAGTTTAATTGCCTAAGAAAATCTACTAGGGATTCTTGACCATGAGGCCAAATAACAAAAGTATCATCGGCGTAGCGTTCCATCATTTTTGTTTTAGATGGAAGCTGCAGAGGGCTTCCATCAATATAGTCGCGATGACTGATGATAGTGGAGAATTCATAGCTGTTCTCGACAAGCAATTTTCTATTAAGGCGAGAAGGTTTGGTTCCAGATTCTGGGATTTTAGTATATCTGAAATGATGTTGAGAGTTTCAGGAATAGGAACTTTAGTAAAGAGGGATTCTACGTCGAAACTAACGAGAATATCTTGTGCGTCTAATGTAATGCTTTTTAATTTTAAAGGGTTTTAATAAGGAAGCTGGATATTTTGATATGTTGGAGAACCAATGGTGCTGACAATAGGTCGAAGGGGTAATGCTGGATTGTGAATCTTTGGGAATCCGTAGAGATGAGGAATTTTAGAGTCATGAGGGGTGACAGATTTTTTCACAGAGTCTGCGTTCCATAGATGATGTAGCTTCTTTCTTCTTCAATCTCAATCTTTTATTAATTTTTGACCACCGTAGCATATCCTTTATCTGCTTTTAGGATTACGATGTAGGGATTAGATTTTAACGATAATTTGGATAAAAATCATCACTCTCTTGCCACTCGCATAATTGCAGTCTTAGATCTAGCTAGAACCATGTAGATAAAGAAGGATAAAATCACTCAACTTGTTGATTGGAAAGTTAGAGCTTTTGATAGTATGCGCACTACTACAACTACTTTTACTAATAGAAGATCCTGTTTATGCGTCGATATTGGGAACACCATAACTTCTTTCATTCATAAAATTGCCATCCATCAAACATTAGATTAAACAAACCCCCCCAATCCGAGGCGATTAAGAGAAGTTGAAGAAGAAGAAGTATATATATATATATATATATATATATATATATATATATATATATATATATATATATATATATATACTTGGCTCGAGTTGAACATTTCTCTAAGCTCCTCAATGCCAGGACTGCACATTCATTTTTGGATTTTCTATTCCCGCTCATAAAGCAAGAGATTCACGGAAAGACATTAATGAATACTAATGATCTATTAGATTCGGAAAAAAGTTTATTTTTGTTTTAATTTTGCTTTATACTAAAACACGATAACGTCATCAGACCCTTTTAAAACGGTTTGTTTTATTAATAAAGTGTCCTACAATTTTAAAATTTGTGACCGTCCGAAAGCGGCAATTTCGATTTTTCGCTGGGAAAATTATATTCGGTTTGGAATAAATAAATTCTCTATTCTGATCAATTTATTTTTATTTATTTATTACCCGCTTCGTTTAAACTCAGTCCGAGTAGTTAATAGCAATTAACACTAAATTTGCGCCCCGATTAACAAATATATAATTCAATTAGCAAAAAGCTCGACTAATTAAATTAATGAAACGGGGACAATTTTAAAATCTCGATTAATGATTTATGA